CTCCTTTCATTTGCATTTGCTCAAAATGACTCAATTCATCTGTTCTGATAGCTCTTTGTTTACATTACAAAACAAGACTTGAATTTTAACATGGAGTGGAAAAAGCTAATTTAATTTCCTTACATTTGCCAGTTCTGCACTTTTATACTCCGGGGAAGTGGATGCATTAGCTTTTGCTCCCGAGGTAGAACTACACTGCCTCCTAATCCACATGCCAGCCAAGGTTGGCTAAAACTGCACATCCGTACTTGCATCTGATCCAGTATTAGCCACTTTTAATCAGCAACACAGACATTCATCTAAAAATAGCATGTTAAAGCTGGGATGTTGAAATCAAGCAGAGACGGCAGAGGAAATTTGTAGAAATCAATCTTTGCTCTGCCCTGCTGCAGTACTCAAACATAACTGCCCTGTGTTAAGAGTAAGTTGAATCAATACCAACAATTTGGCTTTGGTATGATAGCTGTCTCAATAAAACAAACAAAAAAACAGCCTTGAGTGACTGATGAATTGAAATAAACCAAGGATTTCAACATTCAACAATACGCTGTAAATAATTTGTGAAAAATCTTGTTGTTGTTATTAACCTGATAATGCATTAAGTTCCTTTTTGACTTACCAGCTATAATACTACTTTCTTCAAAAGTGTATTTCTACTCAAAATGTCTCTGTCGCATCAATATACAAAATAAAATGATTTAATCAATTTAACTTTAACCACTGACTTTTGGCTTAAATTACAGAATGAAAAAGATGTATATTTTTTGTACCATTTAATGTATTTAGTATATAACACACCCTATTAGAGAGAGCTGAAGAAAAATTCTAAATGTGAATGTTAAACAAAATCAGTGAAAATAGGAGTTAGTGTATATTTAATAATACAAGAGGTTACGGTTACTGTGAGTTATCAGGGTTAAAGGAAATGATGTCCTGATTTATTGAACATCAATAATAACAAATGCTGTGCGCCCCAAGGCCATGTGTAACAATGGTAACACAAAGAGAAATCCAGGGAGGGGAGTTGGGATGAGGGCGGTGGAACAGAAAGAAGAGAGGATAGAGAGTGTAGGGACATGAGTTCATCTTATAGCCCAGATCTTGTATTCAGTACGGGAGCGGTGACACGTTGGTGACTGAACTAGACAAGGCACTATTTCCACAGAGCCACAACCACACAAGTGAATCAATAGAAGCGAAATTATCAAGATGGCAGTAGCAAGCTCATCTAAACTAATTGCATTTAATTAGTCAGACGCATTAACATTAACCTTTGTGACATTCAAAAAGTCAATTCGCTCAACCGTTTTTGATAAACGAACAAACTTTTACGTAGCGCTTGCAAAAACAGACGTAAGGCTGTATCTCCGCAATGCTTAATCGTATTTAGATCAAGCTTGGTACGTGTCATCACAAGTATAACCTGAGGCTACATGCTGCGTTTCAGCACAGCGCCACCTACTGGCCTGGAGATATGAAAAATGGCTATTTTTCCTCATAATTTCTGAACGGTTTGCCAAAAATCATAAAAATGGTCCCGTTAGATTCAGGGCGTCATGGCAAGTCGATTGATATCCGATTTTCCCAGATCGGCCATGGCTGTCGGCCATTTTGAATAATGTGCTAAAATGCTGTATTTTTTGAATGCATGAACGAATTGTTACGAAACTCGGTATGGGTCATCAGGGGATGCCCTGAAGGAGCCTGAAAATTTTTAAACTTTCGAAAGTTAGTGGTAAAATGTAATTTTCAAATGCATATCATTAGACTCCTGAATCAAAGTCCAACGATGCCAGACTTGCCAGTTTTCGAATTTAGCACTTAAAAAACATTTACGGATATCTTGGAAACCGCTAGTCCGATCGAGACGAAACTACCGTCAGAAGTTTGGAAACATAAATCGATGGCTAAATACCAATGCCCAAGGGTCAAAATATTGATAGTAAGGGGTAGTAAAATTCATATAATGTCATGGGTCAGTCATTTTTGACATGTTTTTTTCGCATAAATGACTATCACTCGAATTCAGATATTTTCTGAAATGGGCTCACTCTGAGGACACATTAAAAAAAAAGGTTGGACTGAGCCTTTTGGTGGTGCTATAATAGAACAAAACATGAAATTGCCATTGAATTCAATACAATTTTGTGATTACAATGCTATACTTGTAATCTAAATATTAAACAGATGCATTGATGTTATATTATGAAACTCAATGTGTGCCATTAGCAGCATGCCTGAAGGTACTCAAAATATTTTGAGACAGTGCCACCTTTTTGTCAAAAGTTATAATTAATTCCTGAAAATACTAATAACTTTTGAAAAAAAAAAGCCTATTGTAATGACACTGATCTTAATAGATTCCTTTGGTTATGCTGAAAACATAGATACCAGGTTTGCCATAATCAGCTAAACTTCAGCTAAAAAGAAAAAAATATTTATTTTTTAAGACCTTCTTTTTCAAGGTTTTCTAGACCGTTGGTCCGATTTTCACCAAAATCGAATCATATCATCTCCCGAACGTGCCGACTAAAAGTTATGGATTTTGTGATGATAGACAAAATCATTTTTTTTATACCACAGCAAAGTTAAGGCATGCTGCCAAAATGACCATTTAGGCTTTATCTCTGCAATGCCTTCACATTTTGACATCAAACTTTGTATGTGTCACTGTCACCTCACACTAATCACAATGCATTGATTTCATAATTGCGCCACCTATTGGTTTGTAAGTGATAAATCGACGTGCAAGTGCAATTGTGTGGGTGTGCACAAGTCATGTGAAAAATATCTGATATTATATTTTATTTTGCTTTTTGTGCCTTAGAATGAATACTGAAGTGAAGAAAAACAGGAAAGTGTAGAGGGAGAGAGAGAGGCAGGAATGTGGTTGGATCAGAAATGCATGGATAAGACTCAAACTTGCATTCTCCTGGTTCAGCTCAAGTCCACTGTAGCAGTGAAATCTCACTTGTATTATGAATTATGTGGGACATTTTTTTTAAGAGACTTAGGAGAATAAATAATGTAAAAATTGGTGCGTTGCATCTGTAGTTGTCAATATGAATATATACATGTACAAATAAAAGTAATTGCATTTAGGGAAAGTTTCCAGTGAATCACGATTCAAATTTCGGCGTGTTATGGCAAATATGGGGTTATGGTATTTTCATTTAAAGGAATTAAATAAATTATTAAAATAATAATTATATATTTGATTTGATTGGCCATCTCAATCATTTTGACATTGACAAATACTGTTACAGTCGAGAGGCAGACCAGCCAAAAAAATATAACTTTTAAATCTTTTTGACATTCAAACAACAAACAGTGTATTGTGCAATGGAGTGCAGCAGAGAAGCATCAAGAACAATGGATATTGGGAGGGGGAAATTACACAGTATTTACAGTCCATCAAGCTTGTCAAGTCAAGAAGAACACAATGTTTCCCAGATGAACTCAGAGTACATGGTCCAAAGCACTCAGTTTTTTAATCGCATAACAAAACGATAAATTAATAAGCTGGTCTGGGCTTACACCGTCCCACTTCCGCCACACGCCTGCTACACCATACATGTTCTTCCCCTCGCTGGGTCAAAACAACCGCAGTTGGCACTAATGGTTCAAACTATGGTATTAAACCTCAAATACCCTTCCCTGAACCCAGTCAGCCTCACACTCACCGATCTCCATCTCAATGAAGTTGGCCTCCTCCTGCAACGCCCGTGGCAGCACCCCTGGGTCACTGAAGCTGGTTCTGAGCAGCATGGCCATTACGAAGACGAAGAGCAACACTGCAAACACAGGGATGGCCGGAGACAGGTGCACTGCCAGGTACGGGCACCTGTACAGGACAAGAAAACAAGCAGGGTTACAAAAGATGACAAGGAGAACATGAAATTAACAGCACAGAGGTTAAATGAGCATATAAACAGCGATCTCTAGTATCAAACAGTGAACAGTGCAATTTCTGTGCTATTAATGCCACAAAACAAATTAGGAAACTGTTTGAGCAACCCAACAGCAACATTGGCTCAGCCAATGCTGTGAGTTTGGGGATGGGACTATCTGCTTATCTAAAGCCGGGTGCACACTGCTCGATTTATAATGGTACTTTGCGACTGTTGCTTTCTTTGATTGTACAAACTTGATCCCCACTGTGTTACAACTGTAGGATCTTAGTTGTCATTAAAGTCAGACTGTACAGCAGTCAAGAAGAGTTAAAATGGACACAAACAAGAGAGTTTAACATAAAACCGTTTCATGTTCGGTGACTGTACGCTGCATTTACATGCGGGATAGAAATGGTGGCTAGCAAACTAACAAGCGTTAGTTAGAGATAATTTTGGATCATGGCTTTTCTTGAAAAAAGTAGGTATGTGGAGAAAAGAGCAGATCATTGATAAGGAGGGTTTATAATATCTGTCTGGCTCAGTTCTTCCCTAAAGACAGTCTTTTCTAAGCCCACAATGAAGCAGTCAGGGCGGATGTTTACTATGACTGACTGTGCTTTCTCCATTCCCGCAGGCACACAGCCATACAGCAATAAATTTGGTTGCTCACATAAATTGCGGATGACTTGGGTCCTATAAAAGTGCCTCCCTATGCTCAGCCTGCAGCAGATTGGTCGGATCCACAGGCCACTGCATAGAGCTATTAATAGGGTCACCCTGGCTCTCCTCCACCAATCTCTCCTGCAATGTAGACCTGCTATACTAATGTATGGCTAATACATCACTATAATGGTACATCTTATCACATGTATAGTGCTTTCCCTCTCAGGGGGAAATTTGCTACACTTAGCATTCTGCATGTGAAAAGGACATCTTTACAGTAACAACAATTACAATTATACAGTAAGACAAGATTTGATTAGTCCAGACAATACAACAATACAAAGAAGTAGACTTTTGTAATAAAAATGCGAAGTGTGTTTGCTTGTGCAAAAGTTGCATAGTATGATACTATGGAGTTGACAACACTGCCAGAAACCCCAAGGGGACCACAAGGGAATGCAAGAGGTTCCAGCATTAGTTTTCAATTCTGGTCTGGACACACACCCAATCAGGTGTTAATTAAGGCCCCGTCCACACTACTGCGTTTTCGTTTAAAAACGGAGACCTTTTGCTACGTTTGCACCTCCTGTCCACACTAAAACGGGAAAAACGAAGACCTAAAACGGAGAAGTTTAGAAACGCTGCAGCTGCGTTTTGCGTTTTGAATCTCCGGAGGGCGTTTTAGTGTGGACGAGACAAAACGGAGGAGTTTACAAACGATGACGCAGAGGCTCACGCTCGGCTCTATGATTGGGTGTCATCAGTCATGACGTATCTTTCCCTGATTCGCCAACCACTGTTTACACCGGCGCGCGCATGCCCAGTGTTGGTGAATGGCCACGTGATCCACGTTTTCAGTCGTTTTAGTGTGGACGGAGATAAATTCTAATACGCAGGTAAAACGCTAGTGTGGACGGAGATCGTTTTCGTTTTAATTCTCCGTTTTTAAAAGAAAACGCAGTAGTGTGGACGGGGCCTAAGAGAGAATATAACAAATGGACCATGACTGAAACAATAAATAAATTAAAATGTTTTTCACAGTTGTAAATTAAACTCTGGAATATGTTTTACGAGAAACTATTTCGGTCTTTCCTCAAAATGTCACGTTTAATTAAATGTGTTACTTGCCATTTCTTCATTTAGCAGATTCTGAGAGACAATTGTTTCCAATTATTTTCATTATTATTTTCATATAAAAACTTTTTTTTTATAATGTTTTTCTTTGTCGCAAGTCTAAGACACTTACATTTATTCCCTGTAGTCTGCATGGCAAAAATCGTACATATATATCCCTAGCACATTTTTCCTCAACAAGCCACATATATATATGCATCATTAACACAAACAGATTTACACACTGAAGTTAAATACTTTTGGAGAGTTTGACTCATCAAGCACTACTTATAATACACAAGATGCATTTAGAGTTTTATACAAACTATGTGCCAATCTAATCTTCCAACAATGCATACAGAACACCGGTTTAACCGGTCTACTAGCAGGGTTTGTCTCCTCACACGTCATCATACTTACTGCTTTACGACCAGCAGTAAGAAATATTAGCAACAGAAAGATCATTTCCAGTCAGGCAACATGGTACAATTAACTTCACACACTGGTGTGTCAGCATACCAGAGCCATCAATGAATTCTACTTGTGGGGGACGAGCCAGATTAGTTTGATCCATTTTAAACTATGAGACTGGAAAACATAAAGACGACCGAAAAAAATCCAGAGCAGAGCTGGTCGATAAAACTTTCCACTGCCCGGATCATAAGTAGAAGGCTGCAGGGAAATCCATTTATTATTTTGAAAGCTGTGTTGGGGCAGAGAGGAGCAAAAACTGTGTGTGTGTGTGTGTGTGTGTGTGTGTGTGTGTGTGTGTGTGTGTGTGTGTGTGTGTGTCTTTAACCATCCTGAACCCGTGCCATCATCAATTCCTATCACAGCCCTGAGCTTCCCGGACATTACCCATCACGCAGTGCTGGATGTGACTTCTCTCCCTATAATCAATACCAGAGATAAGCGGCTCCGATATTAAAGATTATGTTATCGTCATTACTGACGTACAAGTTTATTTATTTAAGCGCCATAATTAACACTTAACTTCCTCCATAAAATAATATAAAAAACACAGCAAGTATTGTGCCTCAATAATACTTAACTGTTGAAAATCAACACAAATTCCCATTTGCAAACCATTTGACTATACCATAATGAGACAGTTCAGACAGGATATTCAACTGCAAAAAATGTAGGGCGGTAATCAACTGAATCACAAAAAAATGGGCGTATACCACATATACCACAATGGAGCTAGACTGAACGAGAGTTTGTGTAACAATTTGGCTACATGGTTGACATTATCAATCAGTATCAGTCCAAGTTCATTTTAACTCAAGGGTATAAAGAAAAAACATTGTAGTGTCTGAAATAACACACCAAATGAATTGTTCACAATGGGATCAAAACATGCATTACTAAAATAAACAAGTGGACTTATATACAACAAAATGGGGGAAATTTAGTGGAAGACTCATAAAAATGGTATCAAGAGAATTACACTCTTGTAGTTCAAATCATGCACACGCTAATCCACTTGTGTCACTGTTAAGTCATCTCCACCCTTCAGTTTGCTTTTACAGCTTGTCCTTAGTGAATTACCTGTAAAGTGAACAAAGTGAAAAGGACTGTTTTCCACAGTTAAGACAACTTGAAGCACAACTGCAGAGTTTTATGGCAGGCTATATGGAAAGGCTTATCTGTGTGTTGGTAAAATCAATAGAGCTGCTTCATCGGTCTGGCTGGTCTCTCGGTGGAGATCGGTGGGGGCAGGGAGGTTAACAATTATCATAACTCATAGCATTCAGCGCAAACATCCGGTACTCCACCGGAAAGTAACATGAGGGGGGAAAAAAAGACGGATGATAGCAAAAAACAACAACATGTAGATTCATTTTGGTCCAGTCAAACCTGAAAAATCTTTATATTGTGTGTGTGTGTGTGTGTGTGTGTGTGTGTGTGTACTCTAATACAAGACATTACTATAAACATAATGGTGTACTCTGTATCTCACAATGTGATTACTGTAAACTCCTTATTTTAATCTTTATCACACAATTACTTTTTCTATTTTTGACTCTGAAACAAACTTCCATAACAGATACACCAAAGACTTTCTACTTGTTATACTTCTCTACATGGAATCAAATAAATAAAAACAAAAAGCAGGTTAAACTCTTCAGGTGTATATGGTCCTGCAAGTCCTGGGCAAACCTTCAACATGCAAATAATGACCTTATCCTAATGAATTTTGCATTGCAAATTGTATTGATGTGAAGTGATATTAGTACCGGTATACAATAATAGCGCTAATAAAAACAAATTGGGGAAAGATTTGCAAGAGAACAAAGAAACTGCAATCGCACATCTCGATGTGACATCAGTGTCTTTCTCTGTGTTAAAGTGTTTCAGGAAAGCTTAAAATACAGGTGGAGATAATCTAATTTCAGCTGTTTCACACAGATTTACAAATGCTGTAATGTACAGTGACATCGCTATGCCTGAAAATTTAAATCCCAGCCTCTGTTAATTGTCAAAAAGTGTTCAGCAAGTACAAGCAGCAAATTAATTATTACACGTTACTGTCAAAAAAAAAGCAGTAACCTAATCTCTCGTAAAGTCAAATTTGCCACAGCTCCAGTTTTGCATTCACATAAGACAGGGACACAAAAATCCAAAAGGAGAAAGTCTTCTCTCCTTTATCACGACCCCTGCAGAGGGACAGTAACAGACGGCAGCCCTCGAGAGATCACACAGACCACAGTCATACACTTAATTCAACAGCAACAACATGAGTATCCAACATTCAATTAAACACAAAAAATAGACATTTAACTGCTGAGCAATAAAGCCATAAGACAAACATACAGGACAATTGCAAACCAGTGAAACCTGAACCTTGTACTTGTGGAAGAATGTGAAAAGAATGAGTGGGCGAACATAATCAACAGAAGGCTGTCAATTTATGAAGTGCTACTATGTAAAAGTTCAACCGGTGTAAAACTATTTCAGTAAGAAGGTAGAAGTATGTAAGGTAAAGTGGGTCTGCATCACTAGCATACAAAACAAAATTGCAACGGCTAATGTCTGTTTTTAAACAGGTTTCCTGAACACTCTGACATTGGAGCGCAAGACAGTTTTGCACCAAACTCATGCCAAAGGTTGTTGCTGTTTTAAAGTATGATTTCACTTTTCTTACAACTGAGAATGGTCTGGTTTTAACCAGGCTACAATACTCAAATAATTCCCTGTAAATTCAGAACAGCTGGAAGTAATGTCCATAAACACGGTCTGTCTCTGCTGGATATCTCATGCCCTGTATTAAAAGATAAAATGAATGTGCACTACTGAACTGAAGAACCTGTAGATCTCATGAGACCATATGGATAACCTCAGATGATATTTAATAATAGTGGTTCTTTTGTGATGTGCGTATCCAGAATTTCGATCGAGTGTTAATCTGAAATAGTAAGTGCCAAAAAAACAACATTGCTCGATTAGCCTGTCATGTAAAAAAGAATTCACACTTTTGCACTCAGCCCAGTTTCTATGTTAATATGTCTGCCCCACAATGACTAGCAGTGAAACCCTACCACAGGAGTCAGCAGCTCAATAAATGACTGCGAGTTTCTGACTAAGCGGAGGGATTCGTTTCCTGCATGCTGATGATCAGGGCTAATGGAGGAGCACAGCACTGAGTCTCAGGAAACACAGACCACAGACGTCATAGTCCACACAAGGGAGCCCATATCCACCCTAAAGAACTCGCAAACATCCAGCTTTATCAACATGGGCAGCAATCTGCTATTGTCAAAATGTGTTTCAGTAACAAAGATAAGAAAGCTTTTAGTTGTTTCCCATCCATCAACAGGCAAAGGATCTCATACAATTTGAAAATATAGACCAAACTGTATTTTTAATCATTAGCAGATCTGTACTTAGATATAGCTGATCTATTTTTTTAGTATTATTTTAGGTTTGTATTAGACTTGGAGATCCAAAAAGGTTCATATCTCATTCCATTAATGAAACCTACAGTCTTTTACAGGTGATATATAGATCATATATTTTGTAGCAAATTAATATATAGCAGCATATGTGATACATTATTAAATTATTATGCAAATTAGACTACTTAATTTAGTTCAGGGGCTGGTCCAATAAAAACAATGCAGCAACATGACACAATTGCATCACATGGTCCCTGACATCACTCCGAAATATTACATGACCTAAAATAGCCTACTCTAGACCTATGTAAGCAAATATTGCAGATATTATGTTTTATGGTCAGCCTATGTTTAATTTTTATTCATTTGTGTTTATTGAATAGGCTATCAGTTCAGTTGAGGTTAAACTCATAAAAATATAGAAGTAGCCTAATATAGAACCTAAATTAATTTTTATTTGCATTTATAAAATAATAGTAGCTAACCAGACCTATAATTTAGGCTTGGGCCTAAATCTTTTAGCTAACATGGTTTGCACGTTTTAATAAAATGCCACTCAAAACAAACTGTGGTTTGTATTTGTATTGATAAACTAGTTGTAGGATAAACGTTTTCCCAGTCAGGCTACATTTTAATTGTAACATTAGAATAGCCTATTTTATTTTAACACACTTTCGGTTTAAATAGTCGATGAGTCGTTGACTCAAGGGCTGCTGGGAGCGATTCGTCGAGAACGATGTTGGACCTCTCCAACCAATTAGATTTAAAAGAACGGCTCGTTAACGAATCGGGCATTTTTCTACTAAATACAGCCATGGCGTGGTACCTCAATCTCAGCATCAGGAGCGCTTCGGTCCTCATTATCTCACACACGGACACCTTTTTATTGTGTTTTTTTGTTGTTGTTTTTTTTGTTGTTTTTTTGTTTGTTTTTGTTTTTACTATTACAATGGCATTATACAAACACAGCCTACACTGCAAAACCCAGCGTTGTAATGGGGGGAAACAAAGCTGCCCACACTGACATCGCGCGCGTGCAGAGTCGACAGCTCCGATTCTTTTAGTCGCGTCGCTGGCAGTGTAGACGAGGTAATCACCAATAACATGCACTTACTCAAAGGCGAAGAACAGAGAGCAGGTTCCAATGATGAGAAATAAGGTCAGGTAAAATACTCCTTTCTGGCGAGCCATCATTACCCGTCCATCGCAGCAGAAGGTGTTTTTCCCAGGTAATTTCTCCCATTTTCGAGTAACCTTCCGTGATATCATCACCGCCGACATGGTAGCGAATGGAGGCTACAATCGGACTGTCTTTTGTCAATTTAACCTGAAATAAACCACAGCCGTGTCCACTACGAATGCATAAAGTTATCAGCAATAAAAATACAGGAGCTTCTTTCCAAGAATGTAATTCTTCCTTCACGTGTAAGATTTGTTTGTAGGTTTCTTCCCGTGCTTCCTCGTGTATCGTTACCATCAGTCTGTAGCTCTACATATCTGCTCTTCTGTACTTAAATCCATGGTTAAAGTCCCACATCAAAAAGCAAAAAGCAAAATCCTCATCCAAAAGAGGAGATGACCCATACTGGCACAATATGAAAGTGCTTCCGTTCAAAATGTGCAAAGATTTCGAATGAGAAAGCGAATCTGACGTGAAATAAAACGTGTAGATGCTAAAAGCACATCTGGGGAGAGAGAGTGGACCTTGACCGACTGACATTTATGTCATTCGTTACAGGTTGAGCGTATCCCGACAGGAGTATCCGTTCCTTTTCTCTTAAAAGGAGGCAAAATAAATGTGGGTAAAGCCTTTTGTGACCTATGCCGCTTTTTGTGTAATTATGTGCGTAATGTCTATGATAATCTTTTCTCTAATTTCGTGTCGTAGGATGCAAGCAAGCCTGGATTCTCATCGGGAGCAGGAAACACGCCTAGATTTAAATGTCTCTTCTTAAAGGGCCAGCGTCTTACTATACAGGGAACAAAGGAATTTTGTCTCATAATACTAATACTATCCAACCTAATAAGCAATCGTTAAAAATAACTTCTTTGCCCATTAAGGGAATGTGATATTTTGAGCACCTTCATTGTTGAGTCTATTTAATTGTGTGGCCTATTCCAGCCTCTACCTGTTTTATTTTTACATGATATACATGTTGTTGTTATTTTTGTCTAATGTCTGTTTTTATTGTCCCTCAAATGTTTATTTATTGTCTTTAACATTGTGCTACAATGTTGATGTTAATGTAAAATAAAACCTGTTTTGACTAATTCATAGCACCTTATATAGTGTCGCTTCTTTCTTTCTTTCTGTCTTTCTTTCTTTGTAATCAAATCTTTTTTGAAGTATTCAGGAAATGAGATGGGAGGTGAGAAACAAAAGATGCTTTATTCAAATGTTTATGCACCAGTGATGATCGCATGAGTAATTTATCTCTTCTGATCTTGTATGAAAAAGAAAGCCTGTCTTGCTTGTTTAATCTCATAAATATGTAAAATGATGCATATTCAACATTAAAACTTAGCTCATGTGAGATTCATGAGTTTAGCCAGTTTATGAGTATGAGTTCATTAGAGACAGTGGGCAGGAAATAAGAGCTATAGCTAAGATTATTTCAATAAAACAGATAGATATTCTCTCTATATATCTGTCTTTATAAAAAGTGAGGTGGCAAATTTAGAGAGACAACAAAAGGAAAATACAAGTAAAATACAAGTTGTGCTTCCTTCAGTACACAAGCCCACTACAACAAACTATCAAATATATATTGTAAGAATGCATGGCTAATTTGTATTGACTGTAAGTAAAGAAACATGCTTTTTGGGACCAGATGGTGCACTGACTTCTGCTATCATGGGCGAACAGAGTCATGTCTGTTCAAATCATCCCAATCTTGATTTCTATAGTGGATTCTTCAAAGTGTCTTTCTCCATTGATGAGCCACAAATTTTATATCAGTTTATATTAGTAATGTATCGTGATGTCATGGCTCCATTTTCGTGTGGCTCCACAGTCATTAGCCCAAACATTTTCAAGTCGTTCTCACTACATTATATAAGTTTTGTATAATTCACTTAGCAATTGAGGTTTCAATATGCTTAATTTCTAAATCCTCTTACAAAGCAGAAAAGGAAATACAAAAAAGCTCTTATGGCAATTATATTAAGAAAAATGTTTTATAAAATGCTTTATAAAAGTTGTAGTTTTAGTAATAGTTAATTTGTAATTAATGCATTGTTTAACATGATTACATAGTTTAATATGAAATAAATTAGTTTTAGATATGTCCATTTATATGTCAAATTTTATATTTAAATGAATCTAATAATTTGTTCATTTATATTATTTCAGAGTTACTTGAAACAAACGTGAAGCGTTAAGTTATTTTGCTCACTTTTGTCATATATATATATTATTTAATATTATTATTATTATATTTATATATGCTTTAAGATAAAAGTGGTTAGATATTTATCTAAAACTTTTAAAGCGCACAAATCATTTCCGCCCTTGTCTACTTACAGGAAAACGACGTTTGTAGTTTTTACCACCGTGTTCGTCTCAGCGTGACAGCACAAATGAACAACGGTTCCCAAAGTGCCTTTCGTTCAGATTAAACATCCGCTTTAACATCCGTGTTCATGGCGGAAGCCGCACTGAATTGAACTGAGAGCAGCTGTTTTACTTTATTCCGTGCAAATGATTTGCAAGGTGGACAGGTAACGCTGACTCCAGAACGGACTACATTTTTTGTTTTCCGGTTGTGTGTACGGAACTAAATGTGAACTGGTAGCGTCTATGTGAGCACTATTCTGCGTTCCTGAAAGGTATCATCTAATTAATGATTTGAACGTGTTACGTTAACGTTAGTTTTTAGTAAGCGTTGAATGTGTTCTTGCTGTTTGATGTAGTCAAATTTAGGTTCTTGAGTGTTAAGTAAACAGTATTCAGTAAACTTGACTGGCTGCTTTGTTTAAATAGCTTTTTGTATTGTCACCAGGAACAAAATTGAAGTTATCTCAACAGACAACGCATCACATACCCCCTCTCTCTTTCTCTCTCTCGTTAATAGATTTTTGTTGTTATTGCTGAACATATGTCATAAGAGGACAAACTGCCATTTGTTTAGTTCTAATCATTATTTCTTTATTCATATTCTAATCATTACAGGGTGACATACTAGCATGATGGCTGAGGGCAGTTCTTTTATTAAAGGCTTGATTCTAGGGGGTATATTTTGCCTGGTGATGACTTCCTTTGAGACCTTTAATCCAGGAGTCCACCACTCAAAAGGTCAACTGCATCTTCACCATCATCTGAAACCCCTCAGCAAAGATGAACTACAAAAGTTACCAGAGAGTCAGATGTCCGATCTCACCCAGCAAGTTCGAGTGTACTGTCTCATCATGGTCACTCCCAAGCTCCTGGTCCACTGGGTGACAGCCAACGACACTTGGAGCAAACACTGCGACAAATCAGTGTTCTACACGTCCGAATCTTCCAAAGCTCTAGAGGCGTTTGACCTACAGGAGCAGGATGAGTGGGCTAGACTGCGCAAAGCCATCAAACACGCCTATGAGAATGCCGGTGACCTACGCTGGTTCTTCGTGGCCCGGCCCACCACATTTGCAATTATAGAGAACCTCAAGTATTTGGTTTTGGATAAAGATTCAAGCCAGCCGTTTTACATTGGCCACACGGAAAAGTCAGGAGAGCTGGATTATGTGGAGTACGACAGCGGGATTGTGCTGAGCTACGAGGCAGTTAGGAGGCTGATAGAGATGTTCAAAGATGAGGACAAATGCCCAGAACGTGGACGTGCCTTGTGGAAAACGCCCGAAGAAAAGCAGCTCGCCACCTGTCTGAAGTACAGTGGGGTGTTCGCTGAAAATGGAGAGGATGCGCAAGGCAAAGGGCTTTTCAACAAGAAGAGCACTAGCTCTTTAATTTCCGACAGCATGAGCCAAAACCCAGCCGACGTCGTGGAGGCCTGTTGTTCTGACATGGCCATCACATTTGGAGGTATGTCTCCGAGCCAGATGCAGGTCTTGATGTTCGGTGTCTATAGGCTCCGGCCGTATGGACACGACTTTCATGATTCCTTGACATTTCTGCCTCCTAAAGACTCTGATAATGACTGATTGACTTCATGGTTTCTGTATTGGAACTGTTACTGTGACAACTGAAATGTTGACTGGGTTCAGGGCTGAATTTTCTGTGGTGTGTTATGTGTACTTTCTGATTGTGTGTGCTGAAGGTTGGTGTTGCTGTGTAAGATGAGGATTTTTTTCTCTCCCTGCTTTCTGCTAAAAATGTGCTCTGGTAAAAGCAAAAGGATAACGGTTTGTATATGAGCATGATTTAATCATGAGGGCCAGTATAGGATAATTTTGTGCGCTTGATAATATTTTGAATAAAAATTTGCTAGATTTATGAATGCTACATGGATCATATTTGCACTGTGATGTTTTATGGTATACACTTCTACAACTCACCACAATAAACAATTCAACAGAAAATCAGTTAATTGTATATAAGAAAATGCAAAGTATATACTTTATATGATCCATTTGATGATAATTGTTTATCCAGCTGTGTTTTAATTATTTTTTACATTTTTCTTTCTTTTCATGGGTGACTGGTAGGAATAATAAAGAAGAATCTGTTGATGATTCAGTGTTTTGGGATGTAAAATATCAGAGGCAAAGGCCGTATCTATAGCATTTGGTAAAAGAAAACGTTCTATATTGTCCTTAATATATATGAAGTCAAGTAAATGTGGTTTAAAAGTGTAATCCAAGTACGCTTGAGTTTGTGTTACTTGCATAAAAACTTGTCTATTTACGTATCAAAATCCTCTTTATTACATGGATCTGTAATCTTACAATAGATTACAACACTTTTGGTTGCTAGGTTGGGATTATCTTTAATAAATAATAATGAAAATTATGTTTCGTAGTCATTTTTTACACCGTGCAGAGCTGTCCTAATACGGAAATCGCTTCTTGGTTGGGTTTGAAAATGAGATTGTTTCAAACAGCTTTGGGCTGATCAGCAGGCAATGATATTAAATTATTTCCTAGTGTTTCTCCTTCGCTTATCTTTTTCTGGTTCATCCTCCTGTTCTCTCTTGAACTTCGTTCTTCCTTGAAACTACCTTTTTGCAAACATCGGTCAGTGAATCACAGTTCATAGTGCTTTTGAACTCATTTCGCCCTATAATAGAGTTTCCCGTTTCACCCTTTTCACATCCTGATCTGATTTTCAAACACAGGTCACCTGTTTGATCTTTAGCACTTGAGAATCATATCGTTTGAAGTCATGTATTAATATTCATGCAGGTTTGGTCTTCAATATTATTATTATTTTTAAACTGACATAAGCTCAGAAAATGTTGAACACATAATGACACATTAATATTCCATGACGGTACTTTGATTCATAAATAACATCTTGCACTGACTTGCCGATTTGAAGTACTGCTTTGTATTATATTCAATGTGATGTTATTGCTAGTTCCCTAAAAGGACACTTGCAAAGAGATGTAAAAATTCAGAGATGGGAATATTATGAACATGTTTATTATGTACTGTATTCAGTGTCTTCCAAATAATTTCAGGAGAGGAATTTTAAAGGAAGATATGAATGTATAGGAATCATAAATCATTACCTATGATCATTACCAATCTACAAACTTTAAGGTAAAGTGCATTGAGTAAACAGTTGTACATTTTCCATCTTTGCAGTCTTCCTTATTTTATCTCGTTGAGAACTGTTGATTCAAGGGTGGAGAGACACTAAAATTAAAATAGCTAGAGAAATTAGTTCAAGGGTATGCTATGGTATGATTTTACAGCAGCAATTATCTCATATATTTCCCCACTGAATTATAAACTATTTCCTGTTGCTTAGCATATATTTCAGCAAGACTTTACATGCACTTACCTTCCCCGTTCTTCAGTTGGCATTAACTTTCTGCTTTTAGTACAAAAAGCAAAGGGTTCAAAACTATAAAACCAGAAATTTGTCTTGAATCATGCTGTAAATGATACATAGTAAATGTGTTGTTTTAGATGATGCGAAACAAATATCAAAATGTTTCTGTCTTGGGCAAGTGAGAAGTATACAAATATTCTTTAAATAGAATATTAAATAAAACTGCAGTCCGCAGTTTTTCCTCTTTGTCGCCATCTCTGTCCGTAATCTGCAATTGCAGTCATTCGCGGAATTGTCAACTTTACGCGAGTCGTACTTCGACACCCTCAACACGGCACAGCGCGGATAAACACAATGCAATATAGCCGACTAGCCGAGACTACTTCTTCATGTGTACAGATGTGACGTAATGATGCAAAGACATGCTCAAATCTCCCGTGGAAATCCACCAATACCACTGGAATTAAAAACATTATTACAAGCTTAACGCTTTGAATCGAGCTAAGGCAAGCATATAGTTTTGAACACTGGCTGGTAATGTATTTTCTCAAATATGTATTTTGGATCATTTTTAACTAGAAAAAAAGCTACGGACTGCAGCTTTAAGCAGCCATGACACAATTCAGCTTTCGCTGTAGCAACAGACCATATCAGTTAGGAATGACTTGAATACGGATTTTATTTGTGCATTAAAATGGGGTCGTTTTCAAAGCTTCCGGCATGGTAGACAGTTGAGTCCATTCATGTAAACAGTAGCAGACTGGTGACAAGTGGTCCAAACGATTCCACCGGATCCTCATATCTGTCATTACTTATAAGTCTTCATGTGCCACAGTCCATCATTCAGATAGTGAACGTTCTCGATTCCAATTCCCTTGTTTACTTTCTCTCTGTTTAGTGAAGACAAAAATATTCTCAAATGAATCATTTAGTTTTCCATAACCAATAGTCATAGGTTTAAACTGATGCAGACTGATTTATATTAATTTAATGTATTGTTTTCTTTTATACATGCACTATTCACAGCAATCTAGAGCAGTAGCTCTCAACTGGTTTGGCCATAGGACCCACATTTTCCCATGGTCATTAAAGGCACAGTATGCAAGGTTCACCACTAGAGGTCACTCTTTCAAAACAATAACAAAGGCGTAGATGGAGGATGCCAGGAATGAGCGTGGAATCATGGGAGGTGTCGTTTTCACCTCCACAGCCGATGGAAGGCAATCCAACAGGACTTAGGCAGAAATCATGTTCATGGGAGAGGTAATATATTAAAGTTTAAATAATGTGACTGTGGTATGAAGCAGGGCGAGCCTTGGGCTTATATACCACAGACAGCCGCTGCTGCTCCTTTTGTTGTTTATGCATATTTGCTTATATACAACCTTGAACAGTTGCATTTGATTCCCTAACCCTGATCCAATATATATTCACATTTCTTAATTATAATAAAACAAAGCGAGTTCAGAATTTAATAAAACAACGCAAGGGCAGGCCTTAGTTCAAGTCCCTTATTCATCGTCTGGTGTCGTTTAAAGCTGCACTGAAACTGTCATTTGGACCTTGAACCGTTTGGTTCCCATTGAAGTCCATTATATGGAGAAAATCCTGGAATGTTTTCATCAAAAACCTTCATTTCTTTTCGGCTGAAGAAATAAAGTCATGGACATCTTGGATGACATGGCAGTGAGTAAATTATCAGCAAAAGATTTTTTTTAAAGTGAACTACTCCTTTAACACTGATGAATAAACAGAATAATAAGGTAAGGCGATTAACCAGTCCCAAACTAGTTTTTGTTCAAATAGAAGAGTCAACAGCTATCGCACATCTTTCATAATAAATGTCTCGTTTCAGAAAAAACCATTTAGGCTTTGTTTCACAGATACGGTTTAGATTAAGCAAGGATTAGGCCTTAGTTCAATTAGGTGCCCTAGAACAAAAACAATGGCAGGGTTCATATTTTAATACATGTCAGTGCAAGCTGCTTTCAGTTAAATCAGCTCAAACATATTTTTGTGTAGGACTAGACTTAAGCCTTGTCTGTAAAACTGGGGGTTAGAATTAAGTCTGTTGTTGTTTCTTTGACCACACAACGACCCATTCAAAATTCTCTTGTGACCCACCGGTTGAGAAACACTGATCTAGAGGATAGATGAACTAAACATTTCAACATCTAAGAATGTCTGTGCAGATCATTAAAAAATATACATCTTGTTTTTGTAGACGTGTATGTAGTTAAGCATTTTAAAATCAAATGGGGATTCAGAATAAGAAACGCATAAAACACTTACATGTCATCTGCAGACATCTTCATGACTCCCACACAGATTGCGTGCTGCTTCCCTTCTGCCATTATGGCCTGAAAACAAATACTTAAGGACAACAACATGTCCTATGCAACACACACCAATCAAATCTATTATATGAATAGTTCAGTCAAAAACGAATATTTATGGTAGTGTTGTTATTGTTTTGAATAACTGAAAGTAATTGAAATAAAATTGAAAAAATAAATATTATTTGAAAAACAAAAATGTTGCCTTGGACACTACCTGAAATAATTATGTTTAAAGTACAAGAATTATTAAAGCTAATACTGAAATAAACAAAAAATAGGGGAAAAAATAGAATTATTAAATTATTAAAATTTAAACAGCTATTCAGTTTACATCAAACATTTCAAAAGGAAAAAAAATACCATAAAAGTAGTTCATAAGACTTTTTTTACGAGGTCATATTATTCCTTTGTGTGATGAATAACAGACCAAAAGTAATATGGTGCTTTTTGTGTCCTTTTTGGTATTGACATGGGTTTGTGTTGGAAGAGACAGATTATTATTTTAATTAAATCCTATTGATTTATTGTAAAGAAATGGTTAATTCTAATCAAATGCAGAAAAATATTTCAGAAACAAAAAATGAATACAACAGTTGGAAAGATACAACTACTTTGTCTGTGTCAGCAGGGTAGAGTTTGGCTCCTGGTGATGTAAGGCCTGGGCACATGATATTGGCTCCACTCAGAACAAATTTGATGGCTCCTTTATCTACTTGTTGGTGTGGCAGGATGAAGGGAACTGGAGAACAGATACGCGAGTATCAGGAATTAGTCTGACCAAGGGTAAGTTGTGTAATATAAGTTGTTTTCCATCATCTGTCACTCGAGAAAACCTTTTCTACACAAACAGTATTGCACTACTTTTGAAATTAAAGCTGTCTTACATTTGTGTAGAAGTCTGAGGGTGGGATAGAAGGGCCCTTCTCTCTGTCTGAAGAAGAGGAGCTCTCCATTTACTGTAAGAATTTCAATATGCTCATGACTGGAAAAACATAGACAAAATATCACAATTAGTTAATCCTTTAGTACTCCATTACAGTTATCCATATTGTGAAACTCTTACCATCTCACAATTTTGACTGGGTCCTTTTTGGGCATTATCTGGTTGAGCCAATCATCGATGTTGGGAAACTGATCTAACAGCTGATTCTTTATACCCTTAATTACAGACGTCTTCAGCTGAATACAGTTTGAAACATTTTCCTTTTCATCAAATCTATGAAGACAAAGAAAATAATCAGCAAATATAACATCTAATAATAATACAGATGACACAGATGCAGGTACAAACAAAGTACTGTTTGTTAAAATCAAGAAATTAGTCTAGTACAGAGGTCTGATATAACATAACTCAAATGCTCTAGACTGACTTAAATCAAGTTTGGTTCCTTAAATTTTGAACACCTAACGTCCATCACTTGATGTAAACATACGTGTTTTTTTGCAGTTTGCTTACTATCTTTTCAAGATATACATATTAGAAGTAAAGTTATCTTATCCAAGCTTAGTGTGAAAACACAGGAATAACGTTACAGATGGATCATTTCTAATTAACGTTAACCATAAAAGTGAGCTGTGACAGCAAGTTAGCAGTGTAACGTTAGCTAAACAGGTTACTGTCTCGGCTACAGAATTAAAGGTACATATTAAGTACTACTACCATATTATGCTGGTA